TGGCTGCGAGGCTAAGTGGCCGCGTTTTTCGTGGCGCTGCAAATCTGGCACTTTTGGGCCACCTACGCGTGTACTAGTAAAAACCAGATCTGTCAGCGTTATGAGTCGTATACTGTTCGCAAAAGTTGATTGTGTGTGTGTTTCGGGGAACTTTTAGTCAGCTAAGGGATTTTAAATTTCGGCCATTACTCAGCGAACAGAGTCAAACGAGTTTGTTGCTTCAATTCTCGTTACCATTTGGATGAATTTTTCGCTTTAACTTGCGCATTTTAAGTTTAATTAGTTTAGCTTATGATTAGCACATCAAGAATGCCGAAACAGATATAAAGTGGAAACACTTAGCGCAACTCTGTTTCATATTTCAATATAGTATATCAGTGCATTTATTTGCGCTATCCAACACTGCTAAAAATTTCAGCCAATTCCATTACGAAGTGGCTCGCAAGTGTTTCTTATTTAATTTAAGATACAATTTTAGGTAAGATAGAATTTACTATAAGCTTGCGCTACTCAGCACTGCTCAATGTTTCAATCAGTTATTCTGCAATCCAAATTGATTTTTGCTTACCAGCACTGTTGCCAGTGTTGGCACATTATTCACTTGATAGATTGATCAAATCGATCCCTACAAATGATCTATCGATGACATTGCTAATCGTTAACCGTGCCTTTCCCTATTTCCTTTTTTGTTTATCAACACTGTGGCCAGTGCTGCCACATGTACGCAGTTCGTTGGCACAACATTGAATTTGTATAGTATTACATCTTGGCATTGCTTTGCGCTGAACAGAGTTTATAAGTGGCTGTGTACTTTGACAGAATTGCAAGAAAACAGACTTGAAAAGTGGTAAGCTGCTTAGTTTTTGCTAAAACTGCTTAGGAACTGTTGAGCAAAGTGTGCTTGCCGACTTTTATGCAATGTTCAAGTCACTTTTTATTTTCTTTATTTATATATATATTTTTTCTTTTATTTTTTACTTAAAAAGTATTTTGAATTTATGGTAAAATTCCAGAAATTTTACCGGAGCTGACTAAGCACATGCTAGGCAAATGCCTGAGAACAACCGCAGACTTGACTTTCGAGTTTGCCCAAAGGCGTCGCAGCCGCAGCCCGCAGCGTGTACGTTGTCTATCGACATTTTGAGGCAATTCAAAAATGTGCTGGGATAGAGTGGGAGGGAGATAGTGGGCGAAAGAGAGCGGGCGCATCAAAAATTCACAAAAGTCGGTTGCAAGTTTATTTAAATTAGAGACTTAAGGATCGCATAAGTTACACAAATCGTGTTAATAAAATTAGAAATATGCCAGCTGGCAGATAGGTGTCTGGGGAGCTGACGAGGGCAACTACCTAAATTGACAGTAACTGGGTGTGCGAGGGTGTGTGCGGTTGTACAGTGCTCAACAAGTGCGGAAAATCCGAGTTATTCTGCTCGCTACAAATGCAGATGAGCAAACTAAAAAAGAACTGAAGCGTAACTGGGGCGATAGTTGCGCGCTGCACGTTGCACATTGCACGTTGCACGTTGCAATGTGCAATGTGCTGCCGCCACCCTACCCCAAGGGAGCACCCTGTGGCCGTAATGCGGCTTGTCAGTGCCGCATAAATCATTGAAGGGGATAATAAACTCGACAGGCGGTCGGCATATAACGTTCGCACAGGGTGCACCAAACGTGCTAGCCGAAAGAAATACAGAGACTTGGACAGGCACTGGCAGGAGCAGCGGCTCGAGCAGGGGCCGGGTTTGCGGCATAGACAGAGAGCTGGGCCATCTCGATTGGGGCCGGGCACATGTGTGTACCCCCAAACGTGGCACAGATAAGGCCCGCCCGGCCACCAAACAGAGGGCAAAAAACTGCTCATGTTTGATGCCTGTTTGGCCAAGGGCGTCAGGGGTAAAAGTGCGGGCCTGTTCAAATAAAATTAAGCGCACCAACAGCAGCTGCCATTGCATGGGTCATCAAACCGAGCGGCCGCTGCAGTCAGCGCCCATTCCTTCACATTGTATAGGGTGCTTGTGCTATTCAAAAAATTTTAAAACTCAGTTAAATTAGTAAAGTTCGATCTTCAAATTTCAAATCAGCCTTCGCATTTTATTATTGGGGCGCTTATTTTGTCAACTTGGGACTGAAACTTATGCGAGTGCTTGACAGTTGACAATGGATACGTTTGCATACAGGGTGATGGCTAAGTGAGACAGAATATATTTCGCCTAAAATGAATGGAAGCTTTTAAGGTATCGAGAGCGAGCGATTATTTTCAAATGATCGCTTTAGTCCTTTATTAAAGCGCAATTATATGTAAATGGGAAATTAGGTTTGAATGAAATTGAAAGACAATAACATCAGTTGGGTGCCTTTTGAGACGACATTTCCTTACCCGAGGCACCCTTTAAAGTCCAGAGACAACAGCTTCGTTCACAAACAAATATTTTTCGTAAGTGAAGAAAAATTAGGTACAATAAATTGAACGGAAGTCGCTGCTTAAAAAGGAAAAAAAAAGCAGCAACGAAAACAAAAATAAAAACAAAACAAAAAAAAAACAGGGGAAAGAGAAGGGAAAAACAAGTGAAATACGGCAGGCAAAGCGGAAGCTTGGAAAGTACAAAAACACCGACAACTGGCAAATGTCGACATGGGCCGGGCAAAAGCCGGCTTTCAGGACAAGCGGAGCGGGGCAACTGGTGTTGTTTGCCTGCGGCTACTGCTGTGGCTATTTGGCCAACACACACACACACACACACACACACACACACACACACACGCGACAGCGACTACGCGTTGTTGTTGTTATTGTCTAGCCATCTAGATTGAAATTCTTGAGCCGCCGTAGGCCCGAAACAAGCTTATGTTTATACCCTGGCAGCTGGTGCTACAATTCTTTTACACAGTTTGTCGCCATATTAGGGAGCATAACCTACAACAAAGCCAACAGCCCATTGAAGCCTGTGATGCTGTCGAGTCCCAGGCAAAAGGTGTAGGCGAGAAGCTAAGACAATCAAATTGTGATGTGATATAGGGAAATGGACATTAAAAATATTTAAAAAATTATACGCAACACGTGATATTAGCTACATTATTCCGATCGATAGATCTATCGGCGACACTACAAATCGATAACTATGCTTATCGCTCATTGCCAATATTGCTTGCTCTCTAGTCGAAAAGCTTAATGGAAGATTTCATAAGATATCTGAATCTGAACTCTATAGCGTTAGTTATTAAGGTTATCTTAAAACTTTCTTAAATGGAGCCACTATCGATTGTGTTATAGATATCGATAGCTATGTCTATCGCTTATCGCCAATATAGCTGGCTGATGACACCTGAGCCTAAAACCTTGAGCTATATTTCTTTAATGTTGTTTTAAAACCATCTTAAATTTATTCAGTATTATAGATCGGTAAATTTTGCATATCTGGGATGTCCGTGTGTGCAGTGATAATTATGTCATTTAGCGGCTTATAAAAAGCATTCTTTATTTTATTATACAGTTAATTATATCATATCAGCTGTATGCAATAAGAAATTTGGCGTTGTTTTTTAAATTGAGGGTATTAAATGTTCGGCAAAAATATATAGTCTAAGCATATGTGTGCTTTACGCGGAGACACCACTTGAATAAGTCCGCACAACGGGAGCTGTTTAATAGAGACAGACAACTAGACAGCCTTGTATAGAAGGTAGGTAGTAGGAAGCACAGCTGACAGACGTACTGCCAGGACTAGACAAGTATACAAGTATACGTTCTGTTCAGCACGCCGCATTGAGATTTTCAATTTCCATATAATGTGGCATGTCGGTGCAACGCCGTTTGAAATGGTTTTGGCAATTTCCGTAGCAAATACCAAACAAAGTAAAACCAAGCGTAACTTGCAACAACTGCAACAAAAAAAGAAAAAAAAAATAGAAAAAAAAGAAAACAAAACAAAACACAAAAAAAAAAACTGCAAAGCGACCGGCAAACAATGAATCAAATGAATGAATAGAAATTTTATACACGTAATGCCATGGACGGCATTCAAGCCAGCCGACAAATTTGTCGGCAGCAATTAGCTAGAGCAAACAAAAGCATTCTAGTCTATTTTCTCATGTTACTTTTTGAGTTAATGTTAGCTAACAACCACTCGAATTGTATAAGATAGCGCAGCCGATTGTCAAGCTGACGCGCAGTTCAAATAATTTACATATTTAGCCATCGAAGTTTAGCTGGTGTTGCCATATGCTCAAAGCAAGTGCAGTTTGGCAACCTGAAAAATCACTTGTCAAATATTTACCAAATGGAAGTGCCTGGTAAAATCAAATATACATTTTACTAATGTTATTTACATACGCAGCATTAAAGTTGCGCCTCTCACTTTCAAAGCGAATAAATTGGACAAAGACGAATTTCGTTGGAGTTTGAGATATTTTAGAAATTACTTTCTAAATTCAATAATTTTTATCTTTATTAAATTAAACTCATATTATGCTGTTATTTTAAACTCTGTATGTGTATGAAGTCTTTCAGTAAATTATTATTTTTGTTTTCTTTTTTCTTTTGTAAGAAACGCCTTTTAACATTTTTTAAATTTGTTCTACAGTAAAAGCCTTTCCCAATAGCGTGTGACCACTGTGCTCACATTTTTTCTTTTTCTCTTTTTGTTACTCTGCAATTTCAGGATTAAAAGTCACTTTCTCTTTTTCTGTGACGGCAAAGCCTTTTATTCACTTAATTTTTTGGTCGGGTGTACATGCACAGGTAATTGTGTGTGTGTGTCTTGTATAACTTGACAAAACGAACTGTGCAGCACATCCAGCCCCCTCCAGCAGCTCCCTCTCTTCCCTTTCAATCAACAAATGCAATTTTTTTTTTTTGCATGCGTAATGTTAAAGTAAATGTAGTATCCAACCATTGTTAGAGTGCCTCCTCCCGCTCTCAGTCTTCCGCTGGTTGCCATTGTTGGGTCTTACCTGTCATGTCAAATATTCATAGTGGTTGCTGCTGTTGTCTTCTATTTTAGGTGGTAAAAATGCCGCCCGCTGAGCATCATGTGGCCACGCCCCAAGCGGCTGGCAATGACGACTTTCAACTGGAAGCAAGCACAAGTGCCGAGAAGTGGAAGGATGTGCCGGACAAGTATTTACTGGTGATAGCACACTTGCTGGCCGGCCATAGCAATGAGACGGAGGATATGGAGCGGTTCAATGGCCCGATACTAAAGGCTAGCATTAAATCGGTCTATTGGCTCTTTCTCATCCAGTATGCGGCCCTGGCGCTGCTGGGCGTTATCCTCAATATTGCCATCATTGTGTACATCATGTACCATCGGCTCTACAAGGATGTTACGCATGCGTTCATCATTAATTTGGCCTTCTGCCATTTTGTGCAGTGCGCCCTGGTGTTGCCCATTTCGTTGATGGTGATGCTGCTCCAGAACTGGATATTTGGCCAGTTCCTGTGCTTTTTTTTGCCCATGCTTCAGGTGAGTGCCAATGTTACTTATTACTCCCAGCCGGCCAGCACTTTGGCTCCAGCAAATTTTAATTAAACTTACACACGAGCATTGTTATCTCAGTTCTCCCCTGTCTCTCTATCTATCTGCCTGGCTCACTCCGGTCTAGGCCAGTTCACATTCTGTACTAACGTTGTAACGCTGCCAGCGGGCCAGATGAGCCGATAAACCTCATGGCACTACGACAAGTTAATAAACTTAACGCAGTCTGCTTTATCGGTACGCTCCTCTGTTCCGCACACAATGCCAGAATTGCAGTGCAAACGACAAGGGGGGAGTGTGGAGTGTGCTGTGGGGCATTGCAGGCTACCAAAGCACATAGCTAGAAACAAAGTAGAGATTGGTCAGAGGAACAGTTAAGAGCCAATAAGACACTAAAATATGAACCAACTGCAAACAATGAATTCAACTGGTTATTGCGATTTAAGCTCTTTGTGCAGTTTTTCATGAATTTAATACGTCGAATATAAGCTCCATTTCACGATAGTCAAACACTGGTTTTGATTTAAATCTTTACAAATGCATAAATTTATATTTCGTTTGTAATTCAGTACAGACTAATTAAAGCAGATTAGGGTTTCTTACATCGTTTGAATTGAATATAACATAAATTGCAGATTAATTTGTTGGAGCATATTGTTTTATCTTTTCGCAATGAGTCACATATCGTTGACCAACACTGGCCATGTGATGACTAGTGTCTATCGAAAATAGCAATCGTTATCAGTTTTTGTGAAAGAAATTTAGCAAATTTTACTACTCAAGAATATTGTATATAACATTTCCGATTCACATATATTTACTCCATAAAAAAAAATGATGTTGACTTTTATCAGAGTGTTATACCGTTAAATTGCCACATGCCTGCAGGGTATTTAAATTTCGGCACTCCAAAATAATAGCACTTAATTGCTGTTATTGAAATAATAGCTTCAATTAATTAATTATAAGCCAAGACAGTAGAACAAAGTGCTATTTGATACTTATTTGAGCTAGATATTGTCAAACCCCGCCCAGCCCCATTAATGCTTTAAACATGAATACAAGATTCTTGACATGGACTCTTTAATGGAAAATTTAATTGCTTTTTGGATAACCAACTCATTTAGAATTCTTTGCTCCATTGTGACAACTAATGCTCAAGTCAACAAATACACATTTAAAATAATAGTAAAAAAAAACCCGGTCCGTGTGTGTACTCACATTTGTAAATTTCCCAGTATTTTATTATAAAAGTAAGTCTAATGTGTATGCATAAAAATGTAAACATTTGGCTCAGATTCACGTCGCAAGCTGCAGCTCAATATGAAAGTACGAAGCCTACTTTAAGCTTGTTGACATTTGCTCAGAAAAGCTTTTATTATTTCATTACCATCAACGATTAATTTTTTAGAGTTACATATACGTATTGTAGGAAGTGCAGTAAAAGTAGTAAAAGCAAAGTTGGTCCAAAAGACACGAACTATATATTCGAGCAATCATTCCTGTTTCATATAGTGGTCCAATCCATATGTACTGGTGTAAAGAGGAGGGACATGTTTTGACATATCTGTATTAACTCGTCTGTATATATGTATACATGCTATGAGGTCGGAGGCGTATTTAATCGCCTCTATTTGAGTACAACACTTTTGCGATGTATGGAAAAAACATGAAGGAGTTTAGCCCTAAGCTAAAAAGTTGCATTATTTTGTGGGCTTTTTAGCTGCAAAACACAATTCGATTCGATTTCCCCAAACATGCACGACTGCACACGACACGCGCCTATCCCCGACGCTTTTCTCATTTCTGTGACAGCCAAAGGGCTACCAACTGAACCTAATTGGCATGTCAGGCTCCTTAAGAGCACCTGAAAATCAAAAGACCGTAACGATACCTATCCTAAGTGATTTACCAGTCCACACTTGGCTCAACACATTGCGCCCCTTGTCACCTGTGACATTGCCAGCACCGACGCAATAGCTCCTGCCGCGTCTTATTGTCAAAGCCACAATGATTGACACGTCTCACAGCTGCAGGTACATTGATGTATATATATATAAATATATACACATTTCTGTATATACATTTGTCTGTGTATAAATGTAAGGCATTGGCGAAAAAACAGAAATTTACTCTCATTCAATTTGTTTTGTTACTTTTATTTAACGTTCTCAGGTCGCCTTTGTCTCAGCGTTTGACGAAAATAAATGTTACATGACAGGAGTAGAAGTTTCGATAAAACGATTAATTTCTTTCTTTTATTTATCTTTATCTGTATTCATTGAAAATGGGCGAAATGTTTATCTGCTACCCGAAAATCATAAGAGCCAGACACAACAAATTTATTGGGCGGCCCCTTGTATAGTGTACACAGCTTAAGGGTATTTTACTTTTTATAGAAATCCCTCAATTTTCACAAAATTGATAAAATCCTATTTTGAAAGGTAAGGCCATGCGCTTTGAAATATATATACATTTGAGTGTCATATTTAAGCCCTGAAAAATTCAAAATGCATGCATTTCCCGACATGTGGCTCCCAGGGGAAGAAGCAGCACGGCCGCTGAGTGAAATGCGCAGCAAAACAGACAATAACGTGTACACAAAGCAATAATATCACATGTATGTACTCAATTTTGAAATGCAGCCTTTACATGCTAGCTGCTGCTTTAGATTGTATTATAGACGCATTTGGAGAGGCAAAGGGCCAAGAGGCAAAATCGTAAGCAACGGATATGATTCGATTTGATTGCTATCACAATGGGCGACAAATAGCAAACGGATATTTGTGGCATTTACGCATACATTTATCTTTTTGTGCGTGTGTGTGTGTGTGTGTGTGTGTGTGTGTATTTGTGCGAGCCCTGCACGCCTTGCCCCACCATTGGAATTGATTGATGCCACAGCCCACAAACATTACAGTTCACTTCGATGATGCCTTGAATTTCTTTATTTTAAGTCAAACCCAAATGAATGCACATTGCATTTACGACTATATCTTTTTTAACATTCCTATGTGTCCTCTTCTGGCACTTCACCAGTATGCTTGCTGGTGAATTTTCTTGTCACTCGACGAGAAATGTGAGTGGAACTGAGCCAACTCCAAGTGCCCAGGTCTTTTTGTTCAAGTGCTTCAAGTTTTAAGTTCCATATCTTGGTCGGGCAATATGAGTGCCTAACAAAAAGTCATCTACAGAACATTGTATAGAACATTCAATCTTATCAAAATCTTAAGAGGATAGGTAGAGCGAAATATTTAGTACATGCTAGATCTTTAAGGCTCATAGAAAAATTTGAATTATGTTCGATAAAACCCATTTACTTTCGACCAGTTTTCATTCCTTCTTTCGTAGTTACTTAATAACAAAGTAAATAAAAAGAAATAAAGGTAGAAATAACTGGGGGATTTGAACCAGCGACTTCACGTTTGCCGTGCTAACAAGCTAAATTTACACAACACATTTATATGAATGATTGTTGCTGTCCTTAGTCCTTTTCTTAAGCCGGGCTAGTAGTGCAAGCTTGGGTAAATATTTCCCAGAACTATCGTTTTAGTTTCCATCAAATTCGATTAGCCTCAGTAACGAGATTTATCTGGATTAATATGTTAAGCAAGTAAACAATATTAATGCTGCAAGGGTATTGAAGCTTCGACAGCCAAATAATTTGTTCTTCACGACTTCGCCTAGGTACTTAGTTATGCCAAGACGTATAGACTGACCATTGCCCATTGCTAAACAATCTGTTAAATATATGATATACACACACACACGCACACACACAAGCACACACGTGCGTGAGGTGTTGTCACAATATCCAATCTGAACTCAAGCAAATAAATAAACAAAGCAAAGACCTAGCCGAAAATGGATAGTCGGGCAAATCTTTGGGATTTCGCCATTCAAGCATAACAAGATGTTGCCATACACACGCACACACACACACACACACACATATAGATGAGTACATATGTGAGTGCGCAGCCAAGCGAGCCGAGCCTGCTCCATTGGTGGGTGCAACAACAATCAGAGGCAAACAAATTTGTTTCAATCACCGCACACGCCCAAAAAATATTTTCCCAAGCCATTCGACTAAGTTAACAAAGCTGAGGAATCAGCCAGCACCAGCTTTTGCCTTTTCCATGACCGCCCATCCCCCTAATCTGGTATCTCTTTGTTTGTGTGCTTGCAGGACATACCGCTACACGTTGCCATGATATCGCACATCCTGATTGCCTGGGATCGCATGCGCTGGCTAAACGATCCGCTCAAGGGGCGCATACCCGGCTTCGTCTGCTGCTGTGCCACCTGGCTAACTGGGATGGTGATTGCCCTGCCCTATCCAATTTATACGATTTACGTGGAGCTTGGGGTGAGTATTCATGAACATGAGCAAGCTTAACGTGTTGCTTTATTAAAAATTACGCGATGTCATATGTGTGTTTCTCTGTATCTCTGTGTGCCTGAGTGTCTGTGTGTGTGCGTGCGAATATTTGAATGTGTGCATTTTGTACCTGCCTAGATCAAAGTGAATTCAGCAGACCGTTAAAGCATTGAGCTGAGCTGCTTGACAGCCAAAGCATCGACCCTTGGAGACATTAAAAATCTCTATATGCTTCTTAAGTAGTTCAAGGAAATCTCCGAAGAAATTTTCAAGGCCCTTCACAACAATTGCTGCTTAAAATCAATCAATTTTAATCGGTCACAGCTTTTTATTTCTGCCATGCTAACCATTTGTGGCATTTATTGAAAAATCTTCAATTAAGTCAAATTATCTTATTGTCATTTGTCCGATTTCTGAAAACTAAGTTTTTCAAACTTTTTGCTATTCTTGTCGATCTGTTAAGAAATAAATATAATAAATGAAAGTGATTTTTATTTTTGGAACCAACTAATTTTATTTTATTGATTTGACTCATCAACTATTATGGGAAAAATAATATAGAAATCTTCAATGTAAAATTTATTTTCCTTGATAATTGTAGCTTTACGTATATCTATGTATATATATATATATCTTCAATGTACAAACTATTTTGAGTTGCATCAAAATAATTTGAATTGTTTCAAATAATTCGTAGCTCTGTAGAAATAAAATAGACTTATCGATGTCTACTATTTCGATACATGAAGGAATCGATTTCATAGGCAACTCTTATCCAACTCACATGACTAGACAAGTTTCAAGCTAATGGAAATATATAGTAAAATATCGGAAATAGCTAGTTACGTGTAACAGTTGCCATGATTAAAATATACAATAATAATTAGATCTTTTCAAATCCCGCCATGTTTTTGTAGATTTTGAAGGTAATGTTTCACACCTACTTAAACTGAACAGCTTATCGCGTTGTTGCAGGTTTCGGTTCGCGAAATGGTTCAGTGGGCTTAGTTTGTCTCATGTGCAACCGGAATATTTGTTATACAATGTGCGCTGTCGCCTCGTTTGCATCCACCACGCCATCGTCTGGGAAAGCCCCAGCGGTCTGATTAGCAACTAGAAACTGGCAAATGGCAACTGGCAACTGGCAAATGGTAACTGGCGAATGGCAACTGCAGCGGTTCATTGCGAGGCGCCCGACAATGTTGGCCCGCTACTCTGAATGGGGGAAATGCGGCATGCGGGGGCTGCGTCTGTCTGGCTGTTAGCACGTGTGATGGTGTGTGGGCCAATTTGAAACTCGTTAACATGGCTTGTCAACTGCGCTTCTATTTTGCTGCCAAAATATTTGCAACATGGGGTTTTAAAGTGCGCCCACGACAACGACAACAACGCACATAAATATTTATGGGCCATAAAGTGTTGCAACTTTTTGATACACTCATCGCGCTCGTGTTTCTCTCTACTGTCCTTTTCTCTCTATCTCCTTCTCTGTCTTGCTCGCCGTGTTTGTGTAAGAATGTGCATATGTGTATTTTTAGACCCGACCTGTTTATGCCTTGTTTGCGTGGTGCCGATAATTATCGAAAGCAGCCGTTTAACCGCACAAATACAAAACAAGCTTAGACTCATCCTTAAATAGGTTTTCGTTATGAACTTTATTCTAATGATAGCTTCACATTAATAATTCTTAAATTATCTATAGCCTATTATATATTGGAATACTTTTAACAGATAATGGAGTCCAGCGCATCGGCAAGCGAAGCACTTTCTATAATTTAGTTCGTTTTATACCCTTTTAGAGGGTTTAATAATTTTGTCATAAAAACTATAATTATTCTAGATCAGCATTAGTAGCTGAGTTGTAGTAGTCCTGTCCGTCTGTCCATCCGTCTGTTTCTATATGAACTAGTTCAGTCTTGAAACTTTGTCAAAACATATGTCAGAACCGGTCGGATCGGATCAGTATAGCCGCATAGGAACAATCGGTCAAGTATAAACAACTACTTTGTTTATCAATATATTTAAAGCAAACTCGCCAGTTATACGTTTTACCATGCTCCATATCTTATCAACATCGGCCAACTGTACATATAGCTGCCACAGTAAATATCGTCCAAAAAGTAGGTTCTCAGCATTTGCGAGCTTCACTACTATCACATATTTGCAAGAGGCAAATGTCTACAAGGGTATTAAGTCTTCGGCGTGCCGAATATATCCTTACTATTTTGTATTTATTTTGTACTTGTGGGTAGTTGTTCCAGTTATTGTTCTGGGCTTTTGGGTACTGAACAAGTTTTTATTTTTTTTTTTTCTTTTATTTAAAAATTAAAAAGTTCAAATTTGATAAAAGGTAACTTATTTTAGTTATTGCATTTTGCATTAAGATAATGGAAATATGCATATAGATATCTCGAATATTGACTGGCAAACCGGAAATTATAGTAATAACCATTTAAAAGCCCGCACCGTAACATTTGCCACACTCACATATTGTAAATTAATTTATGAGCTTAAATAAGAGAGTGCACTAAGAGCGAAAATAATATTTTTATTTATTCTAGGCAGGCTAATGAAGTGGTGCGGGCGGCCAAGTTGAAAATTGGGACTTGATATTGCTTGCCACTTGCCACATGCCGCTGGCCACTTGCCACTTGCCACTTGCCACTTGCACCAATGTGCTTGAAGTGGCAGTCTTTTTGGGTCGAACAGGTAGCGCCGAGAGCCAAACCCTTCAGTAGTCCAGCTATTGGGCGAAACGCTCAGGTCAGCTCATATATCATGATTGGGTCGGTTGCTTGCGTGGCTTGTTGGCAATTATATGCGGTATTTATGCAGCAGAAACTATATGGTATACTTATACATTTCTGGGGACGCCAAACGACAATTTGTATAATTTATATGGCAATTCAGTGAATGTCTGGGGCACATAACAACCGACGACCTGCAAGCAACAAGTGACACATGCGGCACGATGATGATTATTCCAAGGATGATGACCAAGATAATGATAACTACTTGTGTAGCGATAATAATAATCAGTCTGATGATAATTGCGACGATTTATAATATTTATGCCCAAACGTCGATTATCATTATGTGCTGGGCGAGTGTGTGTGTGTGTGATTGTATGTGTGCATACTTATAAGGCAGTCAAACTCAATCAGTCGTCAATAATATCATTAATTCAATACACATGCATATATGCGTATGCTTAATTTGTTCGCAGTGCTAGGAACCAGACAAAAGACACACAACAAAAAAAGCACAACAACCATAAGGACACGCTTCGTAGAGCATCGGGCCTAAACCCGCCTTAGATACCCATTGCTGGCGGAGGGCTTATTATCTCATTTGGGTTCGCCTCATGTGCAATTTATGAATATTTTACGTATACGTAATGGCCGAATTGCTGCTGAAGAGGGTAGAAGTGATGTGCCATTTGGCTTGGTATTTCTATTTGAGTTCAACAAATTGCTTTGACATGCGGACACACACATGGGCACATGCGCACACACACACACACACACACACACACACGTACACATACAGACACATACGGGCACCCACTCGCTTGCCGACAATGTGAACTTTGATTCGTCATGTGGCAAGCGATTCCATGGTGTTCCTGCAATCTTACACATTCCTTTATGTCCTGTCTGTGATTAACAATGATATTCGGAAATCATCTTTGATATGAATTTTGATAGGTCTGTTGCGAGCGGGCAAGTTCGATACAAATATGGCAGTGTCTGTATTTTAAACTGACTTCAACAGAAGCTCTAACACAAAGGCAACCGAACATAATTCTACATAAATTCACAGCAACACATTCGCTAAAAAAGGTAACATATTCTGGGCAAAGGTTGAATATACCCTTAACCAAATCTCGACCAAATATATATAATATAGTTAACAAATATATATAATATATATGGGGCGAAACCTGGAAGGAAACTTCAATGGAATTAGTTTGATAAAGGACAGTTGTGGCTTAAGCTGAACCAAACATTATTTTCCTAACAACTTGTTTTTTGATATTTTAAAATTTAATTGCCATTTTTTCCTTTTAATTTTTGACTATATTTTCAGTACTCTGAATTCGAACAATAACCAATTTTTTTTTATGTGCAACTGTTCAAAACAGGACGAACCAAAGGTCGAACCAAATCCAGAAACTGTTTCATGCAGGTTGAAAAATAGGCTGCGAAAATAGAATTTAAATTAGTTATACATACGTACTTGATATGCATTTACTATTTACCCAATATGTGCTTATTTTTTATGGATTTAAGTTTCTATTTGTTTGAAAACATTTTGTACATTGCATGTGCAATTGTTTCGCTATCCTTTAATCGGTTTATCGATCGGCAACGTGATAAATTTATTAAGTTTGCTTTTAAGTTAAACTCTTTGCTAATGGCTGAAAGTCTCCCTTCTGCTTGAGCACAAGTTTTCGGTTTGAGATGCGGGTTGAAGTTCAGGCCCGGCAGGTGGAATGCAATGCAATTTCATCGCATGGTCAACTTTTATTCATCTTTGTCAGAATATGCCAAAAAGTTGTTGAGCCAAAAAAATGCAAAAAAAAAAAAAAAAATATTCTCAAATTGAAAATGTTTTATATTTTCATTGGTCCCAGTTCGCGTCCAAGTGCCCGCCCCCCCCCTGTTGAGCAATGAAAACGTCAACACCGAAACAAATTTGTTTCGAAGTATGGTGGAAAAAAAGCAAACCTTTTTACCTACATCAAGTCCAATCTGTCATAAGCTTGATATTCTGTGGCGTACATTTTGTTCCCTTTTTTTTAACTTTTAATGCCCCGAACTCATTGAAAATGGCTAAAGTGGGCATCATAGTTTTGTGCAAATGTATGTGACATGCTGCTGAAAGCACTGAGCAGACATTCCTGATCAGGCCGACGGGTCGACTCGATTCAGACATGTCCGTCTGTTCGGCCGTGTTCACGTGTCGGTTTCGAAAATTACACAAGG